GAAATTAAAACCACCAAATGTTCCCCTGCCCCCCCGGGGGGGGGGGGAGGAGGCAGTAAAAAACAGCAGTGCCAGATAGAAACAATCACTGTCCTCAACCAAATGCCTGGTGCAACATCTCTGCCTTGCCTGTGCCCTGTGGAACTGCATTAAGTCCCGCAGGGCACAGAAGTTGTTCGGCAGAGAGTTCCACCAGGTTGGGGCCAGGGCATAAAACGCCCTGGCCCTGGTCAAGGACAGCCAGATGTCTCTCAGGCCAGGGACCACCAGTAGTTTCTTATCTCCAGGGGGTATAGCAGGAGAGGCAGTCCTGAAGATACGCGGTTACCAGACTGTTAAGTGCCTTGGAGGTTAATACCAAAACCTTGAATTTGATCCAGTACTCCACCTGGAGCCAGTGCAGCTCACGCAGCACAGGTTGGCTATGTGCTGTATGCAGGATTCCTGTGAGGACCCGCGCTGCCACTTTCTGGACCAGCTGGAGTTTCTAGGTCAGTCTCAAGGGTAGCCCTAGTAGAGTGAGTTCAGTAGTCTAATCTGGAGGTGACCGTTGCATGAATTACTGTAGCTAGGTCAGGGCAGGACAGGTAGGGGGCCAGTTGCCTGATTTGGCTTAGCTGGTAAAATGGCAGTCTGACAACATTTGTGATCTGGGCTTCCACTGATAAGGACATGTCCAAAATCACACCCAGGCTCTTGACAGTTCTATGTGCTGTATGCAGGATTCCTGTGAGGACCCGCGCTGCCACTTTCTGGACCAGCTGGAGTTTCTAGGTCAGTCTCAAGGGTAGCCCTAGTAGAGTGAGTTCAGTAGTCTAATCTGGAGGTGACCGTTGCATGAATTACTGTAGCTAGGTCAGGGCAGGACAGGTAGGGGGCCAGTTGCCTGATTTGGCTTAGCTGGTAAAATGGCAGTCTGACAACATTTGTGATCTGGGCTTCCACTGATAAGGACATGTCCAAAATCACACCCAGGCTCTTGACAGTTGGTGCCAGTATTTAAGGACACACCTTCGAGAGCCGGGAGTCAGCACACCAAACCTGAGTCCCCCCTACCCAGCCACAGAACCTCCATCTTAACAGGATTCAGTCTTAGCCGGCTCTGTTTCAACCATCCCACCACAGCCTCCAGCCCCTCAGCCAGGTTTGCTGGGGCAGTATCCAGCTGCCCATCAACATATAGCTGGGTGTCATCAGCATACTGGTGACATCACAGGCAGAAACTCCATACCAGTTGGGCAAGGGGGCGCATATAGATGTTCATATTGGAGAGAGGATTGCCCCCTGAGGAATCCCACACGGTAATAGGTGACTAGTTGACATCCTCACTCCCAGCACCACCCTCTGTCCCCAACCTTGTAGAAATGAGGTAAGCCACTTCAAGGCTACCCCACGAATTCCTACATCAGCGAGGCAGTGGGTCAAGAGATTGTGATCAACTGTGTCAAACAGTGCTCTGAGATCAAGCAACAGCAGCAGCTATTTGCCCTGGGCTACTGTTAAGTGTGCCCTGCTCAGGAGCAGAAGTTCAAGGGCCTCGGGGGGGGGGGGCTGCAGTGGGGTCACAAGAGGTGGCAGGAGAATCCAATCCCATGAGTTTTGCTCTGGTTTATGTACTTTGGATCCATCCCTTTGTGCACTGTTTTTAAACCTCTTTCAGTAACTAAATGCTATTATACACACATCTGAAATGGCTTTTCAATGTTGTTTTAGGACCACTATGCCCGTTCCTTTCATGTAAATTAAATGGAAACCACCCCCTTCCTTTTTCCCCCTATAGGTAACCTGAACAAAGAGGATAAAAGGAAATAGTGTGTTACCAAGTTTGAAGTCTGGACAGGGTCTGCTGCAGTATAAGGCACCCACAACCAGTATGTGAACTCGAAAGAAGAAGCCATCAGGGTTGATGAACAGGCGATTAATTTTGTACAGTCCATTGTTGTTTACCAACATCACCACCAAGCGCATCCCTTTCTGCACCACGTTGACATCATGAACAATCCCATTCACCACTGTTTTGAAAAAGAACATGAGAATCCAGTGGGCTGCTGTTCATTATCTTGTAATGATGCGAAGCCAGATGAAGCAGCTACTGAATAAAAACATTCATTCTCACAGAACTGTAAAATGTATAATGGAAGAGACTATGCAAATAAGCTCCCCATACCTTGCACCTGCAAACTGACAAGTTTATCACTTGTAATCTTTGCAAAACCTAGGGTTTATGTCACCCAACAGGGAGGGAATTGCACAGCATTCATGCTGCATAAATAGCAAAGTAAATCTGTTGTAAAGGACACACTCATGCCTTTCTCTCAACAAAGAATGACCATATTATTAATGTTTTTAAAAGTTATAACACATGACTTACACACATGGGACGTTACACAATAAAATGCCAGAAGTCTAGAAATTAGACCTGAGGAGTTTGAGGGCTCCCATCTATAATACCACAGCAGCTCAGAGGGTGGCTGTGTGAAGATGCTCAGCATTTTCCAGGAACAGTCCCAGGCACAGACAGACAGAAGAGACTGTGAAACATTACCTATATTCAGTTACTGCACCCCCTTCTCCCAGCATGCTTGCTCCTAGGTCCACTCACAACCAACTAAAATCAGTCATTTAATATTCACCTCTACATGGTGAGACATAACGTAGAATTAATTGAAATGAACCCAGACTTTAGAAAAGGAGATACTTCTGTTGTGGGTGCCAAGATAATAATTCCGTGGGTACCCTCTAACAATGGCTCAGACTGCCCCAAGCCTGGAGGGAGAATTGTATGTGCCGGTAACAAAACCATGCAGAGTGCCTAAACTATGCCTGGCCACATTATTTGGAGCTGGGTGATCTTACCAAATTCACTGGTGCAGTAGGCCTCCACCTCCTCATGGTCCCTCCTGCAATCAGTCAGGCACACCTCTGTATTGTCAGCTTCTAAAACAAGAACCAAATGGCTGGAAGTTAAAGCTGTACTTACTCAGTTGGAGGGGGCAGAGCTTTGACAATCAGAAGTCTCAAGCCATGTGCAGCAGCATCTCAGTAAGCTCCTGCTGCTGTTCCTGCTATAATTATGCTGTCAGAGGAGTTAACCCTGATACGTGTCTGTTGTGCCTCCCTTACACGTTGTAAGACATCTTGCTGCTTGTTTCTTTTTGCGCATCCTGTGAACGTACTGTTGAGCTTTTTGAACACATCCACTAGAGTCCCGAATTATTGTATTACATTATCTTCCTTCCTGTAGTTATTGAACAGCAAGGACTTTTGTCATCTTGTAAAACCAAGAGCAGGTGAGGCTCAAGGCAAGTAAGTATAATTAAGATTCTCAGCTAGATCTCCTTCAGCTTGGAAAATTTCCCATAAAATCACAGTGACATAGGAAGAGAATGCTGACTCTTCCAAGTCTAAAAGAATGTCAGGTATGCAAGGAACTGACTCTTCTTTTAAAAAAACAAAAAGCAGGCAGCAATCTCTTCCTATCTGATAGAGTCTTGGGTTGCTGGAAGGGATTTCCATCAGTATAAGGGAATTTCTTTGCCTCTGGCCCCTCCCAGTGCTGTACCTGGGTGACTGGCAGCCTTCCACCAAGGAACAACATGAGGAAGGAGTTCGAAGAAGTCTGTAGCAGGAGGGGAGGAGAATGACACTGCTCATATTCTACTACCTTCAATCAATATTAACTAAGCCCAGTCTGCGTTAACGTTAGGGAAGCTGAAAACTTCTCAGCAAACATACTCAACAGACTAATGCACCATGTTTGTCAGCTACAATCACCTGTGAGCTGAGTGGCCAGTCTATTCCTCTGTCCACCATCCACCTGCAGTCGAGCATCTTTGCAGCCATGCAGTAGCGGCCGTGGTGAAGTTTTGTTTCCTTGGAGTTTAATCACCTTGCCTTGCAGGAGGGAAGTTTATTCTACCCAAGTCATTGAAGGGGAGTTATTGGGGGGTTTCATTTTATCTGGTTTTAATCTGTAATGTTTCAATTATTATCTGAAAGCCTCCGTGACCCAAAAGGAAAGAAGAAGAGAAGAGATTGGATTTATATCCCACCCTTCACTCGGAGTCTCAGAGTGGCTTACAATCTCCTTTCCCTTCCTCTCCCCACAACAGACACCCTGTGAGGTAGGTGGGGCTGAGAGAGCTCTCTAGAGAACTGCCCTTGAGAGAACAGCTCTGAAAGAACTTATGACTGACCCAAGGTCACACCAGCAGCTGCATGTGGAGGAGTGGGGAATCAAACCCAGTTCTCCCAGATTAGAGTCCACGCACTTAACCACTACACCAAAGGCAGGGTGCAGAAATTTTAATCAATAAATACCAAGCATCATGGATAATCCGGTCAGGTAGTTACATGATGTAAGGTGTGGGAAATGCATGAGCATGAAATAACATTGACAACATGAACTTAAACAAAACCAAATAACCAGACTTTTACAAAATACCCTGGGTGACTGATTTGCACTGTTTGTTTGTATGATTAGCTCTTTGTCACTCGTAAGCAGACCGTGAGCCGAACCAGCAGGTGTTTTGAGTAGCCCAAGTTAATATATGTAGTAACTAAATCATCACTGCCACACACACACACACAGAATCTTTCTTATAATAAAAGATAAACGGCTTAAAAATTCAGTTGCTAAAATGTTGAAATTAATATTGTGCCATAAGTATATTAAATAGCTAGCCGACTTTTCTTTCAGTGATTGGATACTAGAAGCTCTCCATTTATATACTGTGTTTTTGCCAATTTCATTGTCTTCGAAAGCTTTTGAAACAATTCACAATTTTTTTGACAGACTGTTCTGCTGTTTTAGGGTGGTAGCTTGCTTCACTGCATTGTTTCCTATTAGTGCAGTACAAAACAATCACTTTTTCATGTATCTGTGGCCACCATTTTTCCCACTGCACCACCAGGGGGCTTTTTGAGGGTTTGTTTTTTTAAATAAAATTCAGTAATTGCAATTATGCTATTGTGAACTAACATTCTAACGATCTATTCCCACAATATCTGAATTCTCAGCTTCCTTTTTTTAAGGAAGTGTCTGCCCTTTTCCTTGCAGAATTATAAGAGGAAATGTGTTTCCTGCTCCTTTAAAACTTCAGTGCCAACCAAACAGACTGGGTGATTGACTCATATCTGATTTTCTCATTCAAACATGGTAAGTTCAACTATTGAACACATTCAAGCAAAATCTGTGGCATCTCTACCTCCATGTTTCATGGATCAAGGGTAGAACACATTGGGGCAAAGATTACTGGGATGAATGGCTGACTCTTATTTTTCGAGCATAGACCTACCTGTCGCCTTCTTGCTTGGGCACAGAGATATCTCTTGGGTGGACTGAGGAACTTTTTATCCCAACTAGACTAGATACTTTATACAACTTTATTTTTCTAGTCTCCTATTTAGGAACCCTACTTCCATTCAAGGGATCCTTATCATACCTACCACACCATTCATGGTGTGTCTGTTGTCAATGTCTGACATTTTATGGCCATCAACTTCCAACTACAAAGCCTGCGTGGTTAGATGTTAGTTATGACTGCAGCTCTACACCCAACTGTATAACAGAAGAAAACCTGGTTCAGATTTTTCAGGCAGAGACATTTCATTCACTGAAAGAGGAAATAAACCATGTCATAATTCTGATGTTCTAAATCCTTAGACGGTTCTTTTCAAAAACATATATGGCTCTGATCCACCTCCTGCTTTGACAGTTCTACACAGGAGCTTCATAGCTACCAGTGTTTCAAAATGAAGCCCTCTGGAATTAGACCCAAGACTCTGATCATGCTCAAATGAAGTCCTTGGCTTCTGTCTTGTCTTTGTCCTTTGTCCCTTTTGACCATTTAGTTCAATCCAGTTTGCCGCTTTGTCAATGCTTGATGGGACATCATCCAAAGGGTGATCTGATCATCCAAAGCGGATATCTGATCAAATACAACACCTTACCCCCTTCAACAGCTTGTCAAATCATCCTTGCAACTCATATTCTCCAGCAGAACTCAATGGTGTCCCCCCCACCCTAAAAAAAGCCACAGAACTGATCCCACAATCCCAGTATCATCTAGACTTCTATTCCTGTTATTTCATGGTATCCAAGAAGGATGCAGAGCCTTATCTTTTGAGGTCCCAACTTTTTAATAACACTATAGGAGGTTCTTTGACAGCACAGATGCCTTATGTTCATATCACTGTCCAATCACTGCACAGGAAGTTTCTTTAGTTTGCAACAGGAAAAGAGCATTTCTAATAACCAGCTTCCACTTTTCAACTTTAACACAACACTGGAATTTTTACCCAAGTACTTGGCAGTAATTGTAACCTGCCTTCATCTGTGTATTACAGTATTACCTTTCATAAACAACTGGCTCTTAGGAAGGAATATGCACAATATGTTCTTTGTGGAACTCAGACTACAGCCAATTTACTCAGTTTTCCTAGAGTGAATATCAACCACATGAAGGCCCATATGGCACCTCTGTGGTCTCTCAATTTCCTTTGTGCTATCTTAAATACTATCTGTGACTAGGTGATTTCCTATGCAGAGGCAAAGAAGAACATGCATGTAATTCCTGGAAATGTTCGTTGTATAAAGAGATCTGGCATCCCATACCTTCAGGGCAGGATTGCTCTGGTGGCAACAGACAACATGGCCAAATTATTTTACCTCAGCTTCTTGGTGACCGAGCTTTGGAACTGGCATCTTCACGACATTTTCCTACCATGTCACTTTTCAAAACTATCGCAGACAGGGTAGCTTACACCTCTTGCTGTCTGGCATACATCTTCAGGATATAGGCCTGCTTCCATGGCAACCTGCTAAAAAATTTGGTCAACACAAATGGTGTACTTTTCTGAAGCAAGGGAGGTCTGAACCCCTACTCCTTCATGAGTGCATGAAAACGCAGTGAAGGACTTGTATACATTTTGCCCTTTTCACCTACATCTGAGAATATTATACAAAA